ATACAGTTCATAATAGTATTGAAAAAAAATCATCACAATAAAATCATTAAAAATTAAGGTTTAAATTACATAATTTGAACACCTTCCCCCATCTTGTATTTTGCTGTTGCCTTATTATCATCACATGACCGTGGATATATCTGTCGTGGATGGAGTTTTCTTTACCGACAATCTCAGGCAATATTTACTTTAAAACTACGGTAATTTGGAAGTAAAGATATATTTATTGTTACCCTGTGAATTTTAAGATTTGTTGTTTGGAAGAGGTGCCTCATAGCCATGTTTAAAACACTATCACTAACCTAGAATATCGAGGACAACCATACAAGTGTGGAAAATGGTGAGCAATCATGTTTGACATCTATTTGAAGTGCATCTGCAATAGAAGTGCAAAAAATGATATATTTATGCTTTATTTCTCAGAGAGTGATGATGACTGGTCAGTTATGAGTTATGCTTCTCATAATGGAGATAACATTAATAGAACCCTGACGTTACAGAAAAAAACTGTAACAAAAAAAAAGGTAGGTCATTTTATATGCATATTTTAAAATTTCAGAAAACTCAAGCATTTATTTGCCAGGCGAAAATGTAGCTATGATAGCCATAGCAATTGAGTGCATGTCAATTTATGATTGAATAAAATGAAACTCAGTAATGAAACAATCAGTTGCTTCTAATTTTATCAACATTTTGTTGTTAATTTGTTCTTTTGTTTATTTTTTTTGTAGCGAAGCTCTCCGTTAAAAGCAATGCCAACTTTCTCACCACGTTCTGCTAGCACAGTTGGTGGGTCAGCTTCAGTTTCCAACAATAACAATCCTGTACAGAAGGAGAATATAATTTTTCCGAGCAGTCCAGCGAATATCACTGGTACAATTTTAAAGGTTCCTTCAGCGCATGTTGAAAGTCCAAATACTACTACTACTATTGTGGAGAAAAGAAGGTTGGTTGCTATTTCTTTATACAGTTTATGCTTTTCTTGATCCACACTTCAGTTGGACTCAATTAGTGTTTAGGGTAGTTGTAATAAAAAAAAAATGTGATGTTTCTTTAACCCTGACCCCACCTAAAATTTATTGCTTACCCTAAACTTTGTTGGTATAAACATGAAAGAAATTGCATAAAATCACATGATTATCATGTGACTTGAATGATCTTTCTGACATGGAGGTGGCCAAATTAGAATGGCTTTTACTGTAAATGTGTCAACTAATCAGCAAGGTAGATCAAAGAAAATAATGCTACCCCAAGCTGTTTTTTAATCGCTCGTTATCAGAACCACTCAATTTTTTTTGGACCGTATAGTAAAACCAAATGCTACAAATGTATGCCAATGATACCAACAATATTGACATCTGTTAAAAGCATTTTTAGTTAAATTATTTTCTCTTCAGTTTTGCTTTCAAATATCAAAGCTGTTTTCTCTTCTGACCTTTTGTGAAATTAAAACAATCAATGAATATATCATTACATGCAGCAATGATCTTATTGGTAGGTGATGTCAACAATCAACTCTTGTCAAATACTTAGCAGCTAATTTTCATATAAACAAGTTCAGAAAGAAGTTTATAATTTGAGTTTTGACTGTCAGTCTGTTCATGCATGCACTCTCATATCATGGATGGTTGACAGGTGTATTTATCTTGATTCATTCATTCATCCTTATGAAGTCAGTTTGTTGGGCTAAAAGTGATCACTTTTTATCTGAAACTTTTTCAGGTACTGTATAGGGCTTAATTACTAACTTGGTTTCAAATGTTCAAATTTAACAATAGAATGTACTGTTTTCTCCACAATCCACAATAGTCCTGGTCGGAAGCATTTCCGTGGTGATCGCTAATTTTGAGTGCCGGTCGGGGCCGACCAGCACGGTGAGATCACTGTTGGTGAATTTAAAACCCAGTGAATATGCCTGCAACATCAAATCCTTTAAAATTAAACCCAGGAAATGTCTCCCTCTCTGCAGTGTGTGTGGAATTGCATGGGGCAATTTTATTTAAAATTGGTACAAATACAAATTATAATGGAATATATAATCTACTGACACTTAATAGTGGTTCATGCCCTTTTAGTAGTATTTCAGGAAAGAGCATGGTATTTACCTAAGGAAAACTTGTTATAAAATTCAATAGAGAATGATGTCACACTATTAGGAGTTAAGTTCAATTTGATCTTGATGATCTTACTGAAAGAAAAAAATCACCTTGAGCTATATGGATTACATGAATTAATTAATCAACTTACTCATAATCTAGCAGCTAGGGCTGCTTGACCTTTCGACAAATCATACCAACATTTCATATTTTAGGTACCGGTACCTAGTTTATTTCACTATTTTACTCACTGTCTAATTTCCGTCTTTTATTTGTTGATCTATTGTAGTGTCAATATTACATTGTATCAAGGTGGATGCACAACTTCTCTTTATCTTGTACAGGGGACTGTAACATGTTATTTCTTGGCTTTGTAGGCTCACGTTTTCCAGAGTAGTCACCGATGACGAAACTGAGGATAATTTACCCACTTGTGATGCGGAGCAGCAGGGGACAGAAGTAGAAACTGATGAACAAGTTCTGACTGAAGATGAGGATTCCATGAGGTGAGTAACATTCACATCTGACATATGTGTATCGTTATGGTATGTTGACTTTATCTGTAATGTCGAATGCAAAGTTTTTTTTGCTTGTGTGAGGCCTGCGAATTTGTATGTACAAAGTTCCGGTAATTAACAGTAATTCATCTATTTTCAGATGTCAAGAGTCACCAGCAATAAACCAGACTGATACCAACATACATAGAACATCAATCTCAACGGCCGCTGAAAGCTACTCACTGGCTCTTCCTCCTTCTCCCAATAAAAAACGAAAATCAATCTTAAAAGTTGCAAATGCTCCTCATGATACACCTGAAGAATCCTTTTTAAATCTCTCCCTTCTCAAGAAAGTTGTTTCACCAGTCGTTGCTCATAAAACACTGTTGGAGATAGATGATGAATCGGACGCGAGTGAAACTCACGAGTTTGTGATTTTAAGTGACAATGAAAGCTTTGAGATTAGCAATTCGAGGCAATCGCAGCAATCAACTAAAAGTGCCGTAATGAATAAATCGCATAACAGGAAAGGTGAGCACAAGGCGGTGGGTGATGCAGACATCAACAGAGACAGTAAAAATAACAACCGACAGACCAATCAGGGGAATCAAATTAAAAAAGTCGTTGTTAGAGAACAGTATGATGAAAATGATGACTCTGATCAAGAAGTCGTCTTTACTCTGAAATCAAAAAAGCCTAAAAAGAGAGGTCCTAAAACAAAAAGCACCAACAGGTCAACTGTGCATCAGAATATCAACAACAATAGTCAAGATCTTTCGGACATGGAGGTGGATGTACCAACTGTTCATGAAAGCAGTGACTCAGACTACTCTGAAAACATTGCTATGGACTCACCAAGACAATCAAATAAAAGACCCTTAGTGAATAAATCGCATAACAGGAAAGTTCAGCAGGAGGCAAATGATGCAGCCAGCTACGTGGAGAGTAGAAATAAGGATAGACAGACCAAACAAAAGAAGAAGCTTACTAGAAAACAGTATGACGATGATGATGATGTATCTGAGCATGAAGTTATTTCTCAGAAATCAAAGAAGTCTGGAACGAGAGGATCCAAAACAAAAAGGTCAACTGTGGATCAGATTATCAACAACAATAGTCAAGATCTTTCGGACATGGAGGTGGATGTACCAACTGTTCATGAAAGCAGTGACTCAGACTACTCTGAAAATATTGCTATGGACTCACCAAGACAATCAAATAAAAGACCCTTAGTGAATAAATCGCATAACAGGAAAGTTCAGCAGGAGGCAAATGATGCAGCCAGTTACGTGGAGAGTAGAAATAAGAATAGACAGACCAAACAAAAGAAGAAGCTTACTAGAAAACAGTATCATGATGATGATGTATCTGAGCATGAAGTTGTTATTTCTCAGAAATCGAAGAAGTCTGGAACGAGAGGATCCAAAACAAAAAGGTCAACTGTGGATCAGAACATTAATAATAACAGTCAAGATCTTTCTGAACCTGAATCAGAACATGATGTACAGTCAATGCATGAAAACTTTATGCACGAGTCTGACTACTCTGAAAACATTGCAAAATACTCGCCAAGACGACCAATTAAAGGAACCTCAAGGAATAAATCACGTAATAAGAAAATTAGAGATGATCTGCAGGTGGATGATACAGATAGCTACAGCGACAGTGACAGTGGAAATGATAACAGACAGACTAAACAGAGACAGAAAAAACAGGATGCAATTGGTAGAAGGCATTATGATGAGATAACTTTTTATGATGCACCTGTAGCTTCTGAGAAATTAAAGAAGCAAAAACGGAAGGGTTCCAAAACGAAAGGTCCAAACAAGACAAATGCACATCGGAATATAAACAACAATATTGAGGAAACTGGGGAGGATGTACATTCTGAAATTATTGCGCTTGCCGCAACTGTTTTGAAGGAGAGTCCAATGAAGAAAGGTACTGGTGTAGTTGCAGAAAAGAAGAGGCATTATGAAGCAGAAAAGCCAAGTGCTTCATCAGCAGCTGTGAAGAGCAAAAAGAAAGCCACAACTAAAGGGAAGGCGTACAAAGCAAAAACATCAGAGAAGAAAAAACTGAATATCTACAAAGACAGTACAGTGGATATTGAAAATATTGAAATTGTAATCTCGTCTCAGAATTCTTCCCAATCTCAGCGAAATGCGACCACATCTCAGAAGAAAGGCAAGATTCAGAATAGACAAGGTAAGTGACAGAGAAAAGACCTAGAAAATAGCTGAAAATGTTGTACAATTTTTTTTTCTGTCTGAGTCTGACAAATTCCAGTTAACAAATATCTATATTGAAAGCAAAGACGTAATAACACTGTCGGAATGTTGCTGTGAGAGAAGCAATTTATTTTACATTTATTTTTTACTGATGCCTCTTACTTCCTGTTGCTATCTGTAGCTACACCGGCACGTAAATCCAACAGAACTCGAATACCACCAGTTGAATTCTGGGTACTCGACAACAGTCAATACCAGGGGACAGATTTGGACGAAAGTACCTCAGAGAAAGCAAAAAAAAATAAGCAACAACCGAATCTCAATGAAGTACACGGTAAAGTGCAAGAATCAAATAAAGATGTAAAGAAAGCCAAGAAGGGTCTGAGTAATAAGGAAAAGGTGAACGAATCTGTGCTTGCTAGAAAAGATGAATATGTTAAAAATAATTCAAGTACAACAAGAAAGAAGACATCAATGGTTGTTAAGAGTTCAGGTAGGTAAAACTTTTAACATTTTTTGTAATGTAGTACTGTAAAATACTTTATTTTTGCTTGGAATTAATTTTCGCTATTTTTGCTGAAGGCATGATTCAGTGAAAATAAAATCCAGCAAATATACCCTTTTTCCTATTTTTTACATTCAACATTTCAAAAATTAGTGAAAATAAATTCCATACAAAACACCCAAATTGTCTTTTCATCAAAAATTGATTCCAGCTCAGCTAAAATAAAGTATTTTACAGTAATCATAAAGGTGAAATCATGAAATCTAAGTTGTAGTGGCTCTCGTTGTACTAAAAGGTGTATTCTTCAAACCTTTGACATGTAATAATTCAAGGATTATCACGGTAAATACCAGAAATAACACGTGGTATTGTGAGATGAAGTATTGACACATGCAAGCAAAAATAGAGCTACCGATACTACTTCATGTAATGCTATGAGGTTATCATGAGAATACCGCAAAGTATGCACAAAGGCAGTATGGTCATCATGCAGTTTTGTGCTGTGCACATATTTGTGAGTGTCAGGATTTTATTTCTATCACACTTCTACATCCAAGGTAAACAAAGAGAAGTTGTTCTAATGTGATGTCAATAACCTGTAGTGTGTCTAAGTTGGCGATGTAGTTTACCTCTTATAAGGGAAAATTTGAACATTTGAATGAGTGTCGATACGAGTGCAGATATGGCTTTTAATGGAACGAGAAATTGTATTGTTTTTGGTGCTTAATTATACATCTGTCAGTTACAGTGTGTCGTAATTTTGCAGTAATGCACTGGGTATTTGCATTCTACCATATTAGGAAATGCGAATTTCGAATATGAAACTATTACTTTTTGTATTTCAGCATCCCTATAATATATAATTGAGAGGAAAAGATGTATTTAATAAGGTTATTTATGAGAATACCACAAAATATGCCCTCAGGCAGTACACATTCATATCAATCTCTGCTGCACGACGGTCGATAATCCTGCTGTTCTGTCTTCATGCATACTTTGTAGTATCCTCGTAATAACCTTGTAGTATTGTCATCTCTTATACTCTAATACACAAAGCTGATTGGAGGAGAGTCGGTCATTTGGAATGAAATAAATCACAATATACCCCTCAGTTCGTGCAAATCACATTAACATTCTACTCTAATGGCCTCTTCATGTTGAACCACACAACACCATGCTGGCTGCCGAATTTGGATCAAATTTGAACATCAAAATGCTAAATGTCCAAGTACAGACAGGTTCGGCAAACTAGATTACTGCAAGAATCGGTGATAATTATCTCCTTATAACAGTACTGTTTTACCAAGACTGTTGTGCTAGGTTGTTACATGCTGGGCTGCATACTTGCCAATGAGACCACAGACGTTCAAATCACCACAGGATTTTGACAAGTAAACTCCTAAGCTTTTGAGGTATATGAAGATTTGTCTCCCCAATGTGACAATTATTCACCTCAATTGCAGTTAATAATTATTTAATATTTGGTGTGGGGATTACTGTTAACATTTAATTTAAAGTATTAACATTTTTGAAGAAATTTGAATGTGCCCATTTATAAATTTTTAACTGACACATGACCAGAAACATGAATATTTTCTCTGGGTCTCATCATTATGGTGAACACCTTTAAAATCAGTCATAAGAGACAAATATTGTTGAGACAAATATTGTTGCATGGAAAACAGAAAGGTTTTTTGTGTATGTTTTTTTTTTCTACATCTACAGTAACAGTCACCTCTAAATAAATGTTATATTGAAAAATATCATTTTTTACTTCTCGTTGCAATCTGTAGCTACACCGGCACGTAAATCGAATAGGTCTCGGATACCACCCGTTGAATTCTGGGTACTCAACGAGAGTCAAGGCCAGGATACAGTGATGAAGGAAAACACTTTACCAAAGGAACAACAGACTCCTAAAGAATGGCCTAGCGAAGTACAACGATCCAATAAAGCTGCAAATAAGGCTAAAAAGAAACCGAAGCAGAGTCGAGGCAAAATGAACAATGTGACTGAATTGGAAAAAGTTGAAAATAATACAAATACAGATCGAAAAAAGACAGAAAAAAAGAAATCATCAGTGGGTGAATATTCAGGTAGATACAACAGGGTGTCTTGCTACCATAATGGTATTTAACTATTCACAAAACCATATGAAGAAGACACAAGGCACATATGATGGCCATCATTCGAATCACATGATTCTATAAAGTTGATCTAAACGTATACCCTCATGAACAAATGCATGAATCTACCAAGAGATGGCTTATTTGACTTTCATAAAATAAACAAACCTTGGCTTAATAAGATACATGATAGCAAGCCCTGTGACTCATTGAAACTGTATTTGTAAATATATTCAAAGCCTTTGACATTGTTCCTTGATATGATATAACTGGGGTGAAAAAAAATACTGTAAAATTTCCAAATTTTTCTAAAACAAGTGTTTTCTGTTTGAGTTTTATATCCAAAAATGACCACAGAGTTCTATAGATTTATTGTTTGGTGATTGAACCCTCGTCCTTTTCGTTGAGACAGCTGCCTAACCTCTCTTCAAACCATTAGATTTCAACAGCTATTATGACTTCCATGGCTTTAAATATTAAGTAATTGCATATATGACACTATTCTTATTCTGAATGTGTTTGCATCCAACTTGCATAGAATCCAGTGAACTGTACAGTAGTCTTCTGCAAGAGTTTGACAGTGTTGTGAATGAAAATGAAGATTCTGCATCATCTAGTGGTGAAAACACCTTAGTCAATACTCAGAATGAATCATTGAAAAGACAAAGAGATCAGTCTGCTTCTGACAACAGAGACAGTGATTATGAGGTCATGGCAAAAATTCAGAAAGTGACAAAGAATGCTACAAAAAGCAAGAATAAACAACCAAAGAATAAGAAAGGTTAGTTGCTTGTTTTGTTTTTTCTTGGAAAACACTAGAACATTAGTTTGTAAAATAGTGATCTTTATCATGATATTAGTAACTATGTTATCAATATTATGCGATACTCCAGATTTTTAAATGATTAGTTTTTTAAAAACTGTTTATTTTGAGAATACAAAATTACAGTGAAATTGTGATTGTACGATATACAAGGTGCCTCCAATTTTTCTGGAAAAGCATTCAATGATAGAACTAAGTTGAATTTTACATACATCTCAAAATGTAACATTGCCCAATAATCAGTATTTGCAAAAATACTGCTCTCTGTAAGTAATTTGAAAGAAAATCATGGTTGAATTCCTGGTAGGTGATAGTACATGTTTATTATGCACCTCCTTGGACATCTATATGATATGTGTTCCTCAAATAGAGAACTTCATTTGATATTCTTTCTCTTTTATACCTATCATCTAACAGCTTCATCAAGAACTAAATCAAAGACAAATACAAAACATCCATTTTCTACTCACTCTGTAAGTGAAACGCCTGCAGGAAAAAAGATAATGAAAGTCGAGAAACAAAAAATAAGTAAGTTTTCATTTAGCTTCGCTGTCATCATAGATGACATAGCAGATCTGTTCATGTAGGTGATTGTCCGTCGTCCATCAACTATTGCATTTTCGACTTCTAAAAACTACCTGCTCAATTTCTTTGATACTTGGTATGTGAATACCTTGGGGTGCTCCTGTGAAATTTGTTCATTTAATAACGATATCAATTATTTACCAATCTGATTACTTTAATATTTGAAGTGTATATTATTTTTGTGAACAATTTGTTCTCGACTTGGCTACCACAATGTTCTTGTAGGGTAGCGGAGCTATTTCAACCGTTAGATCACTTGTTTGTCTTTTTATTTATTTATTTTATATTTTTTGTTGATTATTTAAATTTTGGGAGCTTTATAACCTGTCTAAAATGTGGAGTGTTTGTCTAAAATGACAATTAGACATTAGTTTTTGCCAGTCAAATTGTGTTCACTATTCCAAATAAAATGGTTATATTTGATTGGAAGTTCATGGCATAGAGGGAGGCATACTGTCGGTCATAATGATATATTAGTACAGTTCTAACACATTTCCATATATTTAGTATTACGTCACATACTATAGACACTCTTTCATTGTGCGATGTTGGTGTAACTGTATTAATGCACATGTATGTAATATTTGGCAGTACAAGGGTAGATGTACTTTGAGAACAATATGATGATATTTATGGTAATATTTTTTTTTCTTTTAGTTACAGCTTGTAACAATCCTACACCTGGCACACGGCGAAGTAGACGAAATAGAGTACCACCAACCCGGTTCTGGATGTTAGAAAAGCCAATCTATGAGAGGCGACAATCAGGAGGACTTGCCTTGGTCGATATCCAGACGCCTTCCACTAAAATAAGGGTCAAACGAAACAATAATATTCCAAAAAAAGGACACTCCAAGAAAGCTGTGAACAAAAGTGAGTATAACATTGGTACCACCATGAAATACAATCATAGTATTTATTGTATATATAACATATAGCATTTAGTTTAGCAGGACTCTTTGATTCACTGTAGGACACACTTGTACAATATTTATAATAGTGTAAAGCTGAAAAAAAAAATGTCAGGTCATGAAATTTAAACCTTTTTCTTATTCTTATTTTTTCTCTTTTATATTTCTGTTTTGGCAGAAATTGAAAACAAATTGTAAGCAGCTCCTTTTAAAACATATCATTTGATATACTAATTCTTATTTACCTTAATCTGAAGCTCTTAATCTTATAAAATATTAAGAAAGGACATTTTTGCTGTAAGTTGAAACCTTGTACATGCGTACTGCAAGTTTAGTTGAATGTGTAATCCTAGTTTGAATTTATTCTGTACATATTAATTAGCTAATTTGCATACTAATTATGAATTATTTACTTTCAGCATGCTTTGTTTATATTTTAACAGTTTCCCTTAAATGGATTGAAACCTGCTACACTGCTATTTTTGTAGTTTTATGATTGTTGTAAATGATTAGTTAATTAATTGCTCTTTGTATATTTTTATAAAAGTTTTTTCTACATATACACGCTTCTTTGTTTTGTTTTATAGTTCCAGAATATACCAGTAATGTATTTCATGACGTGCAGCTTGATGGGACCTATGAAGAAATCAGTGATGTAATGATTCCTGTCATAGACACCAGTACCAACAGTGTCATCAATATCGGTAAGTAGTAGAGTGGTTATCAAGTATCAGAAAACACTTAACAAAGTTGTAGATCAAAAGGCGGTTTGAATCATGATCTAGTCTTAGCTTGTCAACCCATTCTTGACTGTTTCTTTAATCTTTTCTTTTATTTTATTCACAGATTGTGTCAGGCCTAGTTTCGCCATTGACTATCACGGTCCGACTGGTGAGCCAGCCTGCCCAGACGATTCCCTGATCATCTCTAAATCAATAGATGAAAAGGATTTTTCTGTTGGTTCCCTCATTCTGAGGCCATTACAGTCCAAACCTGCTCAACTTGTTGGACAGTACACATTGGCTTTCATTGTAAAGACTGGCCTACTCAATGTACTGATTCACGAGACAGAGTTTCTTGTCAGAACTGATGACCATTTCTTCGTTCCACCAGGTATTGTCTTTTGTTGCATCCCAAGAAATTAAGCTTCTCGCATGACATTTATAACATGAATGTAACAATTTATTGGTCACTGTTTTTAGTTCTCGTGATATTCATGGCTAATGACCATAAAGCATTAAAGGGCGGCAGTCGTCGTGTCGTGTCCTGTTCGATATGTGACTCATAGCGACGTTCACAACGCGTGTAAAATACATTGTTTATTTACATTAAATTCGAACACGCACTGCCAGAAGGTTGATAACTAGATCACTGGCTTCTTTGAGACTTGATCATGAATCTGATTGACACTTTTTTTTTCTGCAGAAGAAACCTACAGTTATTCATGATAATAAATTTCTGGTGCTAAATTACTATGATCTTGAATTTATGTACACCTAACCAGCAATATTGCCAGCTTAATTGGGGAACAATACATGTTGCCTCCAATTCTGCTGGCTTCCTGAAAGTGACATTGCTTGCAAGACAGCTGTGTTGTCAGCCAATTAGCTGACTATATTGCTGGTCAAGTGTACAAAACCAATTCCCAAATACAGTGAATCAGTGCAATGCTACTGAATGTCACCAGAATAGTGGCGCATCAGAGGTTAATACTATTAATTAATTCACTTTCTTTTTTTTTTCACACCAGGTAATGCATATTCCTTGCAGAATTTAAAGAATGAGGATGCTGAAATAATTTTTTTTCTTGTGAAAAAATAAAAAGTACTTGATACATAATTATTACTGCCAATTCAGCTGTCCACTCATTTGTGTGGGCAGCATAATGACTTTTGATATCTTCCAGTACGACAACAAGTCTAAGCCCTATGCCGTATCCTGCCCATTCCTTCCTTGGATGTTTTTAGTCTAGAATATTTTATAACCTAGAATACCGCATTGTAAAAATAAACTGCCAGATGTATTTTTTCAAGATTTTACCTGTACATGCTTTATAATAATTGGAGTATTATATGCTTAGGAACTCTTCGTATATAGATAGTAATATGATAGTTGTACAAATTTGTAATTGATACAGTGGAATAGTATGGTCTCATTGCCGGAGTATCATAGGTATTGCTGCAAATGTATGTTTGCTTCATTGAAGTTGGAACCATCTTTCATCATATGTTATTCCTGTCTACTAATTGCAGGAATTGTTGATCATGTTATCGTTTTATTAGCATTTATATGTTCTTATTTTATAACAGTGATATGTATTTTTTTATTATACATCATTTTTAAATCTGTATTAAAGCTTTTTATAACATTTGCGCATGACAATTATTTAAACACTAATTGTGGGTAAAACTGTTATGTTGAAGCATACTCCTAATTTTTTGGGAAAATTTGTCATAAATTGCATGACTCTGTTCATTGGTCTATTAGATTAAATTATGAAGCTGTTGTCCCATGGCACCATGAAATAGCATTCTTTTGTGAACAATTCCATGGAACCATTTGTTGCAATTTTTGCCACTTTCTAAAAACCCAGATTTTTGAAACGATTCAGGTCAACAAAAAGTACCCCAATCATTAACAATTTTTTCAGTCTATGTCACCAGCCTACAATTTGAGATGCAGTGTACGACATATCTCTGCCATAGAAACCCATGGTAAAAGCGTTACAATACTGACAAAAGGACCACTTAAGTACAATCATCATTTTCTCGAAACTCAAAACCCCAACTTTTTTTAACTCAATATTCTTGTATTGCCGGGAGTACAATTTATTACAAAATGAATAAAATTGGTGTATTTGCATTTATGAATAGGCTCATACTTTAAGAGCTTCTGATCTCGATTGAAATTTAGAACTGATGAAGTGATTTGTCATCTTTGATTAATTTTTGATACAAATCCATAAAGATCATTAGAATGCGAGCTTGAAATATCATAAATCTTACTAACATTTGCATGTTGAGATTTGACCGTTGCTGAACTGTGTTGGTGTGATCAATATTTTACTACGTTCAGTCCTACTTTCCTTGCTGGCATTTAATAAGGAGTATTGAATGAAACTCGTCTGGCATAAACCTCCAAGTTTGACCCTAGTTCAGAAGTAAGCTACCCCAGGTGCCAAAAAAGTCGGCAACCTTGGGGTCCCTGGCACTCCCAAGTGATCAGTTCTAATTTTCCAAATAGTAATTCATCACAATAATTTAGGTCGCCCCAAAAATCCAAGAAAAATGCCGTTTTTGGAAGTTTGTAAACTCAAAGACAGAGCGACCTACGGTAAACAGTAGACTGCTATACATATCTGTCATTTTCAGCTGTACTTAAGCACAGGGTGCCCAGTATCAACTAGTGGCTGGGGCTAGCAGTTAAAAACATGGTAGGGGTCAGGGGTTTGCTGCAGGTCCCACACGCAATCTTCTTAATTTGAAGTTTAGTTAGATGTGTTTCCAGATAAGATTCACAGATATGAGTGGTAGAGCGTCATCACTTTCAATGACCACAAACATGACATTTACGACAACTGGATGTTCATCACCCAGGAGTCCTCTCCATAATTAAACAAGACTATAAGATCCAGTTCACCACTCCATTGACATCAACAACTGTGTCAATGACTTTGCTGGAAAATCTGGTAAGCTTAATCAAGAGACTTTTTGTCAGGGCGTGATCACAATAGTGTCCAACTGCCTCCCCTTATATTACTCGATGTGGACAGAAAAGATGGAGGGTGTGCAACTTATCATAGATCTATGCCTGAATCTGTACATTTCGACAGATCATTTCAGAATTGTAACCCACTTGCCTACATACACCACTGCAAACATGGTGAGTGCCTTGCATTACTCAATCCCAAAGATGCATATTTGCATGTACTGATCCACACCAAAAGCTGTTGATACCTATGCTTTATGATCAAACAGTTAAGATAGCAGTTCAAAAGCCTCACGTTTTCATGAAACATGGCTGCACAGCAGGTCAATAAATGTAGATTTATATATCAACAACTGGTTTATATCAGAACAGAGAAAGAAGTGCTACTAGCACTCCCTACTCTGGGAAGAAATGTTTCTCTGGTGCATTTTTTACATTTGTTAGAAGCCAGTCAGAAACAGTGCAGCACATGTTTGATGTCTTAGAGACACCTGTTTTTGAACAACAACTTGTATCCGAGGGCCAAGCTCGGCCTAAAGTGGTAAGTCATTTCACCTGGATTATGCATATTCAAAGGACGTTATGGGCAAATCTGGACATGTATACATGCCCTTCATTTCCGATGGTTCATGTTGTATTTGAGAAAATAATGGCGACATGGATAGTAATATAATAATGTAACATAATGGCAGTTGATATTCCGAATTGGCCATCAAGGCGTAGGCTTCCACTACCATACGTTAGTTGCAAACCACCTGCCACTTCTGATGCGAGCCCACAATGAGTCTGCCACTGCCCCTAATACAAATGCAACACCTGGATGCAAATGGCAATTGAGAGATTGTTTTGAGTGTCTTGGCAATATTGCCTGTCGCCGAATGAAGATGGTTCAGTGAGCAACAGGCAGATCCATTGGAAACCATTCTGTGTCTTTGATTTTTTTTCGATCATTTGTTTTACCATCGCAATCAAAAAACCAATCCACAGATAGCGTCATTATATTCAAAACAGCAACCAGCCATGCGCCTCCTAAAGGAATTCTTAGAATGTAGAATCAGTCTAGTCCTAGACTTATGAAATGCTTAAATCAGCGACAGTTTAGCATTTGATGCACAAGACTATTTTAACTCACTCTGGTCTTAGGCTATCAACCGAGTAAGATAACAAGCCTCTCATTTCCCCCCGACTGCTGCACTTTTTGGGTTTGGCATTTCAGTGAAGACAGGGTTTGGTTTATACTAACCGTAGTCTATAATTGGTTTAACAAAATAATCTCCATGTGCAATAATGTGTGAATGATGACAACATCGCACTGTCATCCTTTAAATTTCATGTCACTTGATTGGCTGATCTCTGATCTGCGTACCTGAACAACTAGCTATTCATTCGAGACCCTTCTCTAAACACTCTACTTTTTTGCACATTGAGTGTCAGTCAGCTGCATTTAACGACCATTAATATAAATAAGGACCAAAGTAGAATTAAATCTGGCACAGTTTGCATCAAAGGAAATACCTTTGTTTCCAATCATTCCTATTAATGGTATATGGTTGTTTATTGTTTCTGAAAAATGAATGTTGAAAAAGTCTGTGCTATATAAGTCTGGCATTGCTGCCCATATAGAATGTGGCTAACGAGGAAAAATTCACATTACATGAAAAATTAAAACTAAAATATTATAAGTATAGTAACATTGACTCTCATTTACGATAGTATAGACAATTCAACATATATAATCAAAATTCGGCTCAAACTTAATTAAAGCTAATTATCCACTTTGATTTATCATGTCTCGGATTTCTCACCTTTATTATTGGCTCTAAGCTGCATTTAGTAATTTCATACATTAGTACACCTCATCACATGTGATGTACTTTTATATTATTTGTTAATAAAAAAAAATTCATACATTAGACTCGATCCAGTTGTATAGATAATTCTGTTGCAAATCTGTAGTAGTAGGAGAGGTAACTGGTAGTGAAATCTAAAGCCTTTCATACATGTCGCGTATGAATCACGTGATTACACCGATGTAATCTTTTTAGTGGCAGGAAAGTCGAAAATCTGGAGAATATTCATGCATAGTTCACTGAAAACAAACTTAGATTGATTCTCAAAAAACAAACAAACAAATGCGTTTTGTTTTCGCTATCCTCTGCAGTACTTTGCATATATTTTAGCCATGTATGATTGAAGTAAATTTTTCTCATTCACATTTTTACCAATTCTTTCACAATATGCCGTTGTTGTGGAAATTGTTTTCTTTTCAAATAGCCAATTCCTATAATAATTTAAATCCAATATTGCCGCCTAGCACTCCAACAAGCATTCAAAATGGCTAGAACAAGCACTCAACAATAGACAAAGAAATCAACGAACTTGCTTATTTCGACGCTTAACGACGAGTGAGAACGTTTTTTAAATAAATTGTGCCATTTGAATGTACATCCTGTGGCTTGCTGACAAAAGGTTTAATCACAGTTTGAACCATTGAGAACTGTTATTTCTGTTGGGTTTGTATATTGATGACATTCCATTAGAAAATGAAATGTATCCTCAATATGAACTTGCACTAGTTTGAGATTGCATTTAAACTTCCTATCTGAGAGGAATCTGTGCGATTATCGTTGTTGATTTCTTGTTGCCACTTATTTATGAACAGTTGTTTCAATAATTTAATTGCTTAATTTTATATTATTATTTATCCCGTTTTAATTAGCTAGTTAATACTGTTTTACGAGTTCTGCTCGCAGTAAGGACCCATAATAGGTAGATTTCGTTACACCGGAATCGGCAATAGCTCATATCGTATCTTTAATTGGTGATTTTGTCGAAATTTCGTCTCCTCAAACATCATAACCATACAAAAGAATGGGTCTAATAAGTTTGTCGAACAGTGACAAAGACAGAGAAATGCCTAAATGTTGATTTGAACCCAGTTTAGCGTTTAAGGGAGAGTAAAGTTAAGTGAACAGTTTGTCCAAACATGTTTGCATTCTTTGCTTTTGTGGAAGCATGACTATCGCCGTAGAGTAAGCAAATGATATTTGAATTTTCGAAATTTGGAGGGTCACGTGAGTAGAGGTTGTAAGTGATTGTTGACATTGTGGTTGACTACGTCAGCAGGTTTACTGGCATTAAAATTATTATCTTTTCAATTCAAATTTTAAAGCAGATTGAAGGGCGGTGGTCATCGCGACGCGAATGTACGACTTTTGTTGATAAACACTGATTTTCCCACAACTCAATGCGCTTTTTCTAATGAAATCACAAGTACGTGTTATGGCCTGGGCGCCATTTGCACTAATTACCGCCGGCGACTCCTTCGATATCTTCCAATTACCAAAGAATTAAGCAAAGCCTTGTAACGTCTCTGTTTGTACTCGTTTGTCTGCGCAACATTCAAAGTCGCCATCTTTGTTTGTATGACAACCATATCTCGCACCTGCGTGGCGAGACGACCACCGCCCTTTTAATAAGTGTTTGTTCTTGTTAAAAAGCGACTTTTTTTAGGCGGGATATAAACGCAACCGATAAATGAATCATTACTAGAGATAAATAACCTTGTCACTTCACAACAAATAAAAAAAAAATCAGTACGACCTGAAACCTAGTGATGTACTGATTAGTTTTTTCACCTGACGACAACACCCCTTTTTGTTTTTGTTTGTTTGAGCAACCAATTTTCCTATCATTTCTAATCATTTCAAATGCATCTAAAAATTATGTAAATTTGTTACTTTAATAACTGTTCCTATCAAGTTTCATGAACACAAGCTAGGTCAAGGAAATAAGTGAATTCTTTGAAGTCTTCATCAAGCAATTTACGGTTATTCAAAGCATATATATTCTAACCATAATTAATCAGCTCAACAAACACAAACATGACTGATCATGAAACGATATATTTATAAAAGTTTTATAAATAAACATTGTTATAAATCAAAATTTATGTTAGAATTCAAATTAGCAAATCCAAAATTGTATTGTGACGTCACCAATAGTTCTACTTAGTATTAATTAACATTATCCAATCAGCAAACGCTTCATTTTGAAGGCGATCACAGTGGCTATGTCACGTGACGGCATGTGCGCGCATTATGGGCGTAGACAATGTTCAGCACTTGAGCGAATGATTTTATTTGAATTTCAATGAAAGCTGATGATCGCCATTTACATATTTTTTTTATAAATACGTTTATAAGCAAAGCGGGAACTTTACGAGCTTGCGTTCCCCGTTCTTGCGTTTGAAGGTATGGCTGAGTTTGTACATAAGAACTACACATACAAGGGTTACGCATGGCCTCTATATATTGATAAAACAAAACTGGAGGACGGACTGCTGAATACTTTCAAATTTCGTCAAGATGACGTTATAGTTACAGGATTCCCCAAGTCAGGTAACACATGGATGTTATTTCTTCTGCAAGAACTGTACCCCGATTTAAATGTGTTTGAACACGGCGAGAAGAGAATACCCCCCATGATAATGTGGCTGCTGCAACGGTCATTTAATGAACCGACGCCTCTGCAGAAGACGGTTATTTCTTTTAAGCATGACCCGGACGCGACGCCCTCACCGCGACTTATAAAATCGCATCTACCATATGAAGTATTTCCTAAACAAGCATTCCAGGTCGGAGCGAAAGTGATATACATCACTCGTAATCCTAAAGATGTCGCGGTTTCTAGTTACCATTGGCATGCGAAGACCAACAGACTTCGGGGCAAGCTTACCTGGGAAGACCATCTCAGCGAATTCGTAAATGACAAACTCCCATTCACACCGTGGGTGGACCACGTAGCTGGTTGGAGGGAACATGGCCAAGACGAGAACGTGTTTCACGTCACTTACGAAGACATGATAAAATACACCAAGAAGACTGTGTACGCAATAACAGAGTTCCTTGGTCGGTCTCTCCCGGAATCACGAATAGAAAGCGTAATTTTGAAGACCTCAATTGATAATTTACGCAACAATCCAGAGTCTGCTTCAAAAATTGACATGGACGAAGAGATAATGTCTGGATTTGCGGCTGCCTTTTTTAGGAAAGGAGTAGTTGGTGACTGGAAGAATCAGTTCACTGTGGCTGAGAATGAGATGTTTGAAGTTAGCATAGATAAGAAGATAAGAGAGAAGGGCGTAGCATGTGTGTATAAAATGTAAAACACATCGAGTTGTATTTAACTGTTAACATTTTAGTTTTTAATCAATAACGTTTCGAAAATAATAGCATGATTTTTATTTGTCATTAGGAACACAAAAAACAATAAATAACTAAATAACTAAATAACTAACTAAATAAATAAATAAATAAATAAATAAATAAATAAATAAATAAATAAATAAATAAATAAATAAGTGGCAAATAAATAGATAATTAATCAAAGAAAAGATGATTTATAAATCAGTTTATAAATTAAAAAAAACCAGATAAATACATAAATCAAGTGATAAATGAATAGATAATTAATCAAAGGAAGGATGATAACGAGTTTATAAATAGGTTTATATATAGCAAAAATAGATGAACACATAACCGAGTTAAAAAATCGACAGAGATAAAACTGAACTTTAAATCCAGAATAGTGTTTTTAAAAACGCGTTTAAACCCAGATCAATCTGATTTTAATCCTTTGTGAGAATAGGTTCCATTATTTTTACATTGGTGTTATTTCCAGTGTATTCATACATTGACGATGAATATTTACTAGGTAATCATTATTATCATTATTGATAAAAGTAATTTAATCCATTTTGTAAAAAGGTGGCGAAGGCTAATACAGGAGTTGGTTGATAAGCTATTCATTCTGTTGGGGTAGCTAAACTAGAGGCAGGCTAGATGTTTTTGGGCAAGGAGTATTAGCGTACTTCTTTTTTTTCTTTTTTGCGTGATTCCGTAATTTCAATAAATAGAAGACGAAAATTCGTCTGCATGAACCGTGCATGTAAAACGTTACCAGCTATTTCACTTGTCCGTATTTTGTACAAAATACTTTTCTTTAAATATATATAAGAGAATTTTGTCAATAAAGATCGTAAGTTGAAGGTTCTACAATATTAAATTTAACACAATGCGAAAATACGTAGCTTTTCAAAGTGTTGCTGAGAAGCGACTGTTTACGTGTTTTGACACTTATACCATTGTTCTAAGTGTCCACTGTTTATTAATCACCTATTGTTCGCATGCAAATTAGTAAACCTTAACAGATGAATACAATTGGAAGATTTGCTAATTTGAATATCAAATTAACCGTGTAGGTTTACTAATTTGCATACGAATACACGAACAAATAGTTCATATACAAAGCATACACAAATCTTTTCGAGCAAATCCCATCTGTTGTTTGCACCAATGACTACAAACCGAGATGCACGTCGCGCCCAGATTGAAACTCGTACTCGTGATTTCCATTAGAAGAGCGTATTGGAATGTGGGAAAATCAAACTATAAGAAGGCAATGAACACTGCCCTTTCATATGTACAATTTCAATTTCAAAGAATGAACATTTTTTTTTACAATACGAAATATCAAGTTGTAGTTTGGGTTGCTATCAGCGTTCCCGTGTTTTTACTTTTTCTTAGTTTATACAGAATTCGATGGATGCAGGGCATCACATAGTACTTTCTGCAGAGTAGTAACTATTCTCATTGTCTTCTTTATGGTTCATTGCCAGTACCTCTTTTTAAACGGTTGTTCGTGCAGAGTAGTCGATGCAATAACCTGAACAATAATAGGAATGCGTGCACGTCTGTATAAATTAACGACACAAAAACGTGTTTGTTTGTGAAAGAATGTGTTCTCTATTATTACAACCCACAGATCTAATACTGCACCAGAAATATGACCCATTTAGCTCACAGCGAGACAGAGTTACCCAGTGAGATATATGACAAAATATTTGACGGAAATGACAGGAGTTGGTCGTCTCATAGCCTCGAATTGAGTAGTAACAATTATAGTTTGAAGTATTTTTAGTGCAGTGATATTACTATGTTTTGTTTTTCTACGTGTGATAGAGGGAAATAAGTATAATCAAAGATAATTTAGAAGAAGAAAAAAAGACTTTGTTTTTTTACTGGCGCCCGATAAGTGCAATTGGGTGCCAGACCGTCATGCAGAATGCACGAGTTTGAGTAAAATCTTTGTAAGTCAGTTACGTGTGACCATGTTATTGGGTGGCTTGCAGCAATGTATCGATTCCGTTAAGGCTGGTGACGTTCGTTGTAAATCTGGAACATTGACTGGACTTATTGGCCAGATTGTATGTATGAGGGATCGGCATAACTGTGCGCTTCTGCACTAGGTACATGTATGCTTGTTTGGTCAAGCAAACTATTTTGAATTTCCTTGTGAAAATTGGTATTTTGGGTAGACAATTTGACGTGTTTGAATGGGAGTCATTTAGTACATAATGGATCTTGCACCGTGTGCGTTTAATCCGACATGTACTCAATCGGCTATGACGGTTATATTGTTAACCAATAAAGTAATGAGTGTGTGGGTAAGTGGTCTGTATCTGACTATGTGAAGAGCTCAACCTGGAGGGAACTCTTTGCAGATCACCGTATGCAACAGCAAAAACATTGAAGGCTTTAACGTGCAATGGCGCACAGATAACCAGAATGTGGTGAGGATTTCGAATGTAGAGTACCAGAGCTACAAGACGAAGCGTTACGCATAATTAATTTCTTTGAGAGTATAGATACCTTAATATTTCCAAGGTTGGTGGTGCCTAGTAGGCAAAATGTTACAGCTGATAAGCCTAGTATAGGGCTTAGTAAATTAATGATCATTGGATCATTATCATTACGTAATAATCTATTAATGGACAGTGACCATTAATGAAGCCTTTTATTTGGTTTCCATCACCCATCTGTAAAATGTTACCCGCAATGCATTTGCGGCAACGTTTTGCCATTTTTTAAAACTTAATTTACAATTCTGCAAAATTGTTTTAACATAATTTAAAAAAAAACTCAATGAACATTAAACTTTGAAACAATTGCACTTTAAAAATTTTCGACTTAACGTTGGGTAGTCTGGTTCTTCGTGATTATTCTTGACAATACCGTGAAGTGTTCTCATTTCTAGATATACGTATTTGCATATAAGTATTTGGTGATCGCATTTCGCTACGTGACTCAACAAGATAATAAGGAAGCTTAGTGGACATGGCTATTATGATATCTTCAATGAATATCTTTCGATTTCTAAACGGCTCTTCTTGGCTTGAGTAATTATACATTAGAGAGTTGTTTGTTGATATATATATATATATATATATATATATATATATATAT